CTGTATTGAGTATCGGAGTTGTGGATCCGAAGCATTCGCGATCTCGTTCAAAAAACAGTAGTGTGGCGTAGTTGACGGTCTTTCGAATCTGTTTCTTGGTCCCTCATTTTCTTTTTACTGGTTGCCGGAGTTGAGTGCCGCCATTTTGGCGGATACCCGTTTCATCAGCTCGGGTTCGGTTTGTTCTAATTCCTCCATRATTTCAAAGAGTTTCTGCTTGCGCATCCGTGCCTTTTCGACCTCGCCGTCGTAAACCCGCARCTGCGATTCGATAGCCTCCCAGCGGTCCTCGAACTCCCGGTTCGACGTCATGACGGTTTCGAAATCCACCAGGACGTTTTCGATGGCGGCGTCCACCTTCGACGACAGAGCCCCGAGGCCAGCCAGCAGAAYAATGACCCCCCCAAAGACAAGCACGAGCGTCCTGACCGTGGGGTCCCCCAGGTAGTCGATTTGGTCCGTAAAGGCTGACGGATCGGCACCGACGTCGATCCCGAGGTCGCCGTCGCCGAGGAAAAAGCCCCCGGCGGAACGAAACGGGGCGGCTCCGAGCTTGATTGGTTCACGATTCGTTGTTGTCGTCGTCGTTACCGCCGCTATCCGCGTGTACCCCGCGGTTGGTGCAAAGGCACTGGTTGTTCTCGGAATTGCTACCAGCAAAGCCAGCGCAGACCAGCACATTGCGATCGTCAAAGTTCGTATTGTTATCGGCATTTGAATTGTTGACTACAGGTACTGTGTCGTCACCGTTCGGRTTCCGGATGCTTCTGTTTCTTTGTAATAGCGGCCAGACCTCCTCTTSGCACCTCCTTTCCTCAGCCTCGTCATCAAAAAGTATCAGAAATCAGAATCCAATACTTATCGAAATCAATTGACACCAAAATATATTACTGTACGAACAGGATCGTCTTCAATCTCGAAGATCCCTCGGTACGGTACCGTACGGTACCGTACGTACTACGTACCCCTACGCTTGTGATCATAGATATTTATGATACCATCAGAAAGGTACTAACATATACAAGAGCTCTGTCCATCGTCCATCGTGTAAGGTAATCGTAATCATATGGTTCGTACGTAAAAAGATACTACATARTATGTATCAGGATTAGTCTCTGAACATTCTGCGATAACGTCCGACGAGCGAGCCATGCTTTTGGTATTGTGGTCGTTATGGTTTKTGGTCGTAAAAGCTCGCTCATTATTTCGGAAACGGTATTTCCTAYGGAGTGTCCTGTCCCACTTCATGTTTTCGATTTGATAGAACGTTTTACGTGCGGCGAACGTCGGCAGTCGACATTCCCGTCGTTAGAGGACTGCACACCCCTACCAATACTCCCGCTTGCTTGCATGGTGATTGGATAGACCACCGATGACGAAAGGAGCAGCACTGCCTCCATCAATCATCAAGCTTAATATTCCAGCATTACTCAGTACCACTACAAGTACGGAATCGTAGTCAATTAGACCAAAAGAAAACAGGGATTGCGAAAACAGGCACTACGTGGAGTATTCGATTGCTTAGGCCTCACTCCAGACAGGTGTAGATTACAGTGCAGTACAGTCTATCAATCTCTCGCTGCATTCGACAAYAATCAAGGCGGTCATGCTTTTTTCGACATTGGGGTCGGCGGCGTCGACTTCGACGACGATGACGTTGCTGCTCGTTGCACTGGCGGCGGTGGTCTTCACTGGGCCGGTGTCCGCTTTGCCGCACGGGAGATTTTTCGAATTCACTGGAACGGAAGAGGGATTCGGGTTCTCCTTGGACGACGACGAAAACGATGCCGCGATAAGCAGCCGGGGGGGTTCCTCCCACAAGAAACGATGCTTAACCATCAGTGAGTACTTTGAATTGATGATCCGGCGGTATTTAATGAAAATCTTTTTCTCACGACGCAACGCAACGCAACGTAACGCAACGCAACGCAACAAAACACAACCTAACACAATGTATATGTTCCATTCTTACAGCCGATCTGATTTGTCAAAACGATGACTTCACGATCTTGTGTGAGGGATTGAAAGACACAGGATTAGACAGACCACTAGACAACAAAAACGGCCAAAAGTGGACTCTCTTTGCACCCACTGATAAAGCGTTTCAGCGGCTCAGTAAACACGTTATAGAAGAAATTCTATCGAGCGTCGAAAGCCTTGAATACATCCTAGCGTACCACACCGTGAGAGGAAAAGAGCTGTTTCGCAAACGGCTAAAGTGTACCTTACTATTAGAAATGACGAACGGCCTGGATACCCGCACCGTCTGCGCCGGTGACAAAGTATTTCAAAAAGGCTCCGGGAATTCCGACAGCAAAAAACCAGAAATCATAGAATTTAACCAAAAGGCTTGCAACGGTGTGATCCATGTAGTCGATCGGGTGATTCTACCCAAAAAGATGTGGGATTCGTACAAGAGCAAGCGTCGGAAACCAACGCCGTATCCAACACCGAAACCGTACACATACCCACCAACATACAGCCCAACCTACAAGCCTGTAGCTCCTCCGGTACCGTATTATCCTCCTCCGGTCGCTCCGCCGGAACCATACTATCCTCCAGTGGCTCCTCCAGTACCATATTATCCGGAGCCATACGACGAACCATATTATCCTCCAGTGGCTCCTCCAGTACCATATTATCCGGAGCCTTACGACGAACCATATGAAGAAGCTTACCACGAACCATACGAAGAACCATACCATGATCCTTACCATGATCCTTACGAAGAACCGTATCACGAAGAACCAAATGAAGTATACCAAGATTTTGTTCACGATTTGCATGCTGATGCCCACATTGACTCCGGTTCTGGTTGCCCCTCAATCGGTAAGATCCATTGATAATACAAGTATTATGCATTCATACATGTGAGAAACCCTGGATATGTCCAGTGCATTGCATTTTCTAACAACCGCATGTTTCCTTTCGAATTRTTCTTGTACAACACGCAGCCGAGATTGTTTGTAATACGCCCGGATTTGATTTACTCTGTGAAGCCCTCACAATCACCGGTCTGCTCGACTTCTTGGAGGATGGGTCCGAATGGACACTCTTCGCACCCACAAATGAAGCTATCGAGAATCTGATCGTGAGTGTTCCTCATGGAACCCTCAACCCAGAGAGCATGACGGATCTCCTGCTATTTCATTTGATCGAAGACGAGGCCCTCCCATTCGATTCCTTGGATTGTGAAGAATGGGTCCAAATGTCCGACGGTGGCTTTACGTATACGCACTGTCGCGGCTTCGAGAAATACCAGGTTGGCCGTGGGAATGGTTTTCAGCAATCATTGATCATGTTGAAGGACAGCCCAATAATACTGAGGGAAGATATTTTTGCCTGCAACGGAATTGTTCATTCCGTAGATACGGTGCTGCTGCCTGACTGGTGGTAGACATCGCAATGGATCATCAAAACATTTTGCTTGCATGCATACCATTAATTGTAGGTACTGTCATGGCCGCAAACAGGGGGATTGATTATTATGCTCTGATTGATTCATCAATCAATCACAAGAACGACGATCTAAAACAGTGAATTTACTCCGACATTCATGTAGCCCTTTCTCGAAGAATGGGCAGAGATGCCTCAAAGCACTAGTGCTACCTCTGTCGGACAGAGCCGACCACCAGCAGAAGCAGGGAATTGTTGTTTTTGTTTATTTGGGGGTATCCTGCTTTAGATGAGGATAATTGTCGGCCAACAACTGTTCATCTAGTAGTAGTTCAAACAGTAGAAAGAATGATGAAAGCTCAACAAGCCTGTGGGGATTTGGGTTTGCGGGGTCTTCGACATAGAATAATAGTTATCATAAATATTGAAAATTTTTCTGCTTCTAGTGTAATGGTACAGAACAAGAACAGTTAACAACTTCTACGAGTACTACTACTGCGAGCTTAGCGTCGTCCTTACGTGGAGAGCATGTAAAGGAGTGCTCTTGAAAGTAACTAGGATGCCATCAGTCTCTCTTTCAACTGTCACACAAACACTCGTAATGAAGAGCCAGGCATTCTTTCAGTCAATAATTATCAATCTGACACAACATCAGCCGGCACACGCCCAAACTTGAACAAATTGAATGGGGATCACTTTTTCGCGAAAATTTATTTTTTGACCGTGAACACGACTTCTTTSGAATTGTTTGTTAAAAAAAGCAAGAATTCTGAACTAGGAACTGAAAGAAACAATGATCATCCAATCCATGGAAAAAGTCCGTTTCTGGAGATGTCAAGAATAATGATCCAACCAAACTAAACCCTCAAACCCTCTGTACTGCAAGGAACGAAACGACATGAAAGAATTCCTATCACGTTCCTCACAAAGCCGCAACTTTTCCMTCATTCGTCTCATTGCTTGTTTTTAAAATAGACTTGTTTTTTGCCATGGCATAGATCCACACTGGCTGTCCCCAAAAAATTAGACACAGCCACCCGAGTCATTAAATTATACTCCAATCGATTCTACTCGAATCGTTGAGCTTCAAAATTCGCCTATTCTGTAAGACTATGACGTCCAATATGTTCCTGCACAAACGGACATCACTRGCTTTGTGACACAATAGTGCCATCGTACCGCCAGAAACTTCCACGACAAACAGTGTCAAGATTGCCTTGATGAAAGAGAGAACATAATGAAACAATATTCCATGTATATCCTTTCGTTTCTTCGACTATTCGCTATTCGCCGTTCGTTTGCTGCTCTTCGTGCTCTTCAAGAGCTTGTTTCGCGTAGATGGACCACCGTTTGGACGTCCGTATCTGCTTTCCCAACATTGTCCCCGCTCCCCGCAGGAGGAACCCACACCGGGCCACAAATACGGCAACGTCGGGGACGTTGAGGAGGGGATCCATCTCGGTCAGCAGCTTGAAATAGGTCTGGGGCGTCGGGCAGTCGTATAGGCGCTTTCCGGCCTCATCGGAATCAAAGAAAAGGCCCGCATACTGTGCCAATACTCCCGGGTCATTGCGCTTCGTCTCGAATCCCAGGTCCCTCATTGCCTTGGCGATGGTTTCCACCCGCCCCACAGAGGCAATGGAGGAACCCGCAATGTCTTCGTCATCGGAAGCTTCGGCCAGGGCCAGAATCACCCTGGCCACCCCCAGCCTCTCCTCATCGGTGATGGCCTTTGTCTGGCCGTAATCGATCAATCCCAACAGCGGGCGGTTCTTGGTGCGGCCGAGAATTTTTGAGCCGATGTGGTTGGGGTATTGGGCCCTTGCTCGCAGCGCCAAGATGTTACCTGGGTGTGGATCACCCTGAAAAATGCCATCTCGAAGCATCTGGTACCCCTGGACGTCCACCAGCAAATCGATGGTGCTCTGTGCTCGCTTGTAGAGGCTGAACAATCGAAGCTTGGTCTTCAGGCCGCAATCCTTCAGTAGACTAGCTTCTGTGATTGCTTCCCTTGTCGGTGCCTCCGAGCCATTCGATGACGACGGCAACGATTCGAGTGCTTTCAGTTTGTCCGGTCCCAGAATTAGCTCGAGCCGTTTCCGCTCCAGTAGTTGCTTCGACTTTTCCTCTCCGAGGATTTCCGCCAGCTCGCCCTCCAAGCTGTCGGACAGCTTGGGTCCGTCGAGCAATTCCATGACGAGCAATTCCTTCCCGCAAAGACCAAGGACCGGTTTCGGCACCTTGATCGACTCGTGAAAGGGGCTCTTCGACATGTTGGTGCGRATAGCATCCAGCGAGCCGGCTTCCCTCTGGTAATCGAATTCCGACATAATTTGTCGGTAACACTCGTCCAGGATGGGTTCCCATCCCTTTAGTGCGACCCTACACAGCCACCGAAAGACCTTAAAGTCGTGGCGGAAGCGTTCCTCGCTTCCGGGGTGCATGACTTTTACGGCCACGTCGACTGTGCCGGCTGTGGAGGAGCCCACTGGGGCATTAGTTCTCTGAAGCAGTTCCTGAGCATACTCCTTCCTGATTCTTGCTCTATGGCACTGCCCGATGCTAGCAGATCCGAGCGCAATCTCATCTATGTCCTCAAAGACAGATTCGTACGAATAGTGCATGTTATTATCAGCGGCGTTATTAGTGTTGTGTTTGTCGTTCAGCTGCGAGAGTGTTTTGTTGATGATAGCGGTCACGTCCTCGATGGGCCACTGTGGCAGCGAATCCTGTGCCTTCACAAAAAGCTCAAGGTATTGGCCGGGAACAAAGTCCGGCCGRGAGGAGGCGACTTGGCACAGCTTAACGTACAGGCCCTTGAGGTCAAGGGCGACCGAGTAGGCTGTAGGGGCATATTTGTCGTGGAGGGTCTTATACACGGCATCCCGGTGCTCCAGTGGTGCCCCACTGGCCTTCAGCCACCACTTGGTAAACTTGTAGTGTGCTACCATCGGACCGCAGCGGTACCAAAAGGTGGCGGCCCGCTCGATTGTTTCGCGATCGYGTAGGAGCGTGCGGGTGGTTCCCACCAGAACTGTGGCGGCTGCCAGGAGCTTGCCATTGCGGGCGGTGATTACCCCCGACGGAAGAGCCAGCGAGGACGGAATCGCAATCGCCTGCTGTAATCTTTGGAGTTGTTGGCGCAAAAAGAATCGTTTCCCGCCCATACCACCGGCGGTTAAGAGGAACCCCATTGCGGGGAACCCCTGTTGCTGCTGCTTATTGTTGTTATTACTGCTTTCTTGCTGGTTCGGATTGTGACTGTGGCTCTGGCTCCACACAGGCGACGACAGGGGAAAGTTTTCCTTTCCGTTCACATCCATGTGGACATCGACGTTCATATGCACATGCTGCCGCAAATGCTGCTGTTGGTTCCAGCCTTTGTTTCGTCTCTTGTCGGGCGGACTCTTCGTAGCTGCAAATATGTCTGATCGCTTCTTGTGTTCCAAAGTATATTTCTTGYGCTTGCGCTTCTTTCTGCTATCGGGTTTGAGGTTCTTTGTTGCATGGGCCTCATTATCGCCGTTGACGCCGTCTCCTGACAATGACTTCTTTCCAAACGCTAGTGTTAATCCAGATCGAATGACGGATCCTTCCGCTACGGGAAGAGATACAAGCAACATCATTAGCAGCACCATCACAAGCGACGACGCAAAGGACGAGAAAGTATTCCTCCGCGATGGGAGGAGTGAGCCCGAAACACGCTCGCTGCGATTCTTTGTCGCTCCGTTCATCCTTCAAGTACAATGCAATTAACTGCAACGGTGGGGATGAATGGAAAATTTGTTGTCTGACGGCGATTTAATTCAAATGGTGAGAAAATGGATCATAAATCGTTGTTGTTGAATAAAACAGATGATGCTGATTCTTCTTTACACAACTACTGTATGTACTGGAACATTCAAGGTTTTTGCCAACTTGCTGAAAAATACTGCGCCTAGAGGTACGGTTTGATGAGTACTAGTAGTACCGTAGTCCAGTACCGGTACGTACGTACGAATGGTTCAAGGAAAAACTGCCGACGTCTACGTCTGACGACTCACTCACTCGGTGAGAAATACTACTAGTGAATAGTGAATGCGAGTAAGAATTGCCAAGCACAGTACCGTACGAAGTACTGGTAGGACTCGTACACATTGCTGTACCGTATTGGTAGGCAGATACAAGTACATATGAACATAGGTAGAGCATCCACGAATAGTCTACTCTGTACATGCCGTATCCGGTCCAAGATACGCAATGTTCTACTGGGTATTCAAGAAAATCTCAAATAAATCGAACCCCACGTATTCGTATGGTAACTCCGCCAAGCARCGTCAAAACCTTTCCAAGAATACTAGTACTTACTACTAGTAGTAAATGGATAGCTATTGCAAGTAAATTGCCACTTTTTGTTGTTACTTCAACTASTACTAWAATTCTTTGGATAGATAGCCGAGTGTCGAGCGTTTTCCGAGGAGGAAACACTGCGATCTCAACCACTTAAAAAAGTTTTGACAGAATCCTAGAAGCAATGCCCGTGGTGTATCTCTCTTTTGTCGTGCTCAGCTGACAGCAGCGCCATCGGCATTTTCGAGTTCTACCTATCATGTAGAATTCTACATTCGATTTCGAATCACTCATCCTTCTGTGTGTCGATCCCCCCTATCGCGTGCGATGACTTACTTTCYTGGTGTCCTGCGTTCAATTCAATCGAGACGAGGAATCATGACGTGGTTCACTACATGGACCACTCCATTACATGCCCCGAGATTYTTAGTGGTTATCTCGGGCAGCATATCTCCCACCTGCCCAGGTCCTCGCTGGTACTTGACGAAAGAATCCTCGAAGTCAATGCCCTCCTGGCATTTGGTCCGGCTCCTTCTACCGTTGGCCATCGGAATCAAATCTCGACACACTAGGTCTTCAAAGAAAAGAAGGGATCCGTCGTGCAAATGATACCTCACCACGGAAACGATCTCGTCCGAGGTCAGGTCGACGTGTTCCACCATTGTGTCGAAGGCGTCGTCAGTAGGAGCAAACACTGTCCAGGTTCCTCTGGAAAGGGCTTCCGCCAGGTCAAAGTCTGTAATCAAGTCGCAGAAGGTCATAAATTCGTTCTTCTCGCAAATGAGGTCGACTGCAGGTAGGAAAAACGTAACGCAAAGAACAAGCGGATAGTTTGGAATCTATCAATGAGAAACAGCCAGAAGAAAAGCATCAAAATTAAAATTCATTCTAACCCCAAAAGTAGGCTTTAGATCAGCCGTTCCCTAARCTGCGTCAGGAAGTTGCAACTATTACTGCATTTTACCGGATGCAGAAGCAATCAAACCGCATCAGATCACTGCTCGCGTTAATGCTTACCGATTGTCTTGCAACTTTCTGACTTGTGTTCCTCGACAGCTTGAGACTCGAAAGCACTCTCACATTCGTCCAATACCGACAAAAACTCAGCTTGTGGCAACAGGACCTTGTCAACAACATGAAGCACTCCTTCGCATGTCTCGATGTCGGCAGAAATGATCTCGGGCATACTGTCCTCCGCGTTGAGTCCACCCTTTTGGAAGATCTTTCCGTCTTGACAAACGGTTCGAGACTCATCGCCATTGGCCATTTCGACGACTCCTCCGCATTCAAGATCAGCGTATTTGACCAACTCGCCGTTTGCTGCGGAGTGGAATCCCAGGAAATCATCAAGGGCCGTTGTGCAGTTCAAGACATTATCCACCAGGTCGGAATTGAGTTTCTCAAAGGCCGCGTTGGTTGGTACAAAGATAGTCCAGTTTCCTTCGTTGATGGCCTCGTTGGTAGCGTCTGACAAGGAAATAAGTTCACAAATTGTGCTAAAGTCGGTGCTGTTACAAACGAGATCGACTGTTTTGTTGTACAAGAGGGACAGAGACCAACAAATGTTAGGACAAGAGGAACAAATTAGATCGATAATGGCGACGCGCAGGCGCAGGGAAGATCGAATGAATCAATCTTTGTCGTCAACCATCTTCCCCTCGTCCAAAATCTTCCCTGAAGAACCAAAAGACTTACTAAAATAATTGCATTCCCCATCTACAGCAGCTGAGAGTGTCGACAAGAGTAAGGCCAGCGAGCAGGCCAACTGGGTAGATTTTGGAAAAAAAACGTTAGTAATCATCGCTGTTGTTGTTGTCATGAAAATAAAAACTTATGGTATGTTTAATGACAACTTCTTTGGAAATCGTGAAGGAACATGCAATTGACGGCAATTGACGGCAGTCAAGGGCAAAGAGACGATTCATTGTGATAGTTTTTTGATAATGAATTTTAGGAGTTTATGCCAAAGGGCATCCAGCATGTCGAGGTTCGTTTGTACAATCATGGCTTATGTTTGAAATTCAAACTGTCTCCCAGGTCTGCTAAACTTTCTCCCCAAAACTGCCAGCCAGGTCTACTAAACTTCCTCCCCAGCGGGTTCCTTCCGAACTCTTGGTCGTTGTTGTGCTTGGTAGATCGTGATGTTTCGGTCGTCGTATTTTGGCAGCAGTTTCGGTCCTGGGACTTCGACCAATCGGACAATCGTTGTCACAGAAAATCCTGAAAACTCAAAATCCAAAATCCGATAATTTCTGTAGCGTACGTCGTACCGTCCGTACCGTACGGTAGTACGTACAGTTCCGTAATTACGAGTACTTGTCACACAGTGCGTGCATGCATGCATGCAGGGTGCAGTACGTATGAGTTATTTGTACTTGTACTTTCAATTAAAATGATCTCAAGGAGCTATTTCGACTATCCTCATATGCCTGCTTAACCTCCGTAAGTAATAGTACTAGTAATTTTTAATTTTCATACCCGCGTAGTTTGTTCGTACCTGGTACCACTGTATCTTTGGCACACGATTGGAACTTTCTGCCAAAACTTCAGTTGCGCATCCTGCTTCGACAAAAATGAATTGCCAACGAACCAACTTCGACGTTTTGTTGGTAATTCTAGTCCAGCACAACGTTCCAGATATGTAAATCCATTATTCTACCTCTCCAGTGCATGTACGRATAGCAACGCATCCATGTATGGTATTGTGTACAGCTTTGATTGATAGACACAATCATTTGAGAGACTTAAAAAATAGTACGACGAAAGTGACATCGATATCCGACATCAACGCAAAGTCCACAAAAATACCATAATGAATCTTAAGTCAAGGATAATCTCAGTGTATCATATGGTAGGATTGGTAGCATTCGCTGCTATAGAATTGTCCCCATCGAAAATTGTCTCGGCTTCTGTGGAAGGTGATGCTGCCGTGTCCGAATTTTTAGGTAACTCCAGAAGTAACAAGATGTTGAAGAAATGTCGGCCAGTCGGAGAAATTCTGTGCGAGACAGACGTCTTTGGATCCTTCTGCGACCTCTTAAAAGAAGCTGATCTGGAAAGTACCCTCAACCTAGAAATTGACAACTTGCAATTCACGGTATTTGCCCCTACCAACACGGCCCTCGAAAGTTTTGAAATCGAATCTCTCTTGATGTCTTCGAACAACTCAACAACGCATGATGATCAGCTAGCGAGCATGTTAATGTTGCATATCTTACCCAATGAAAAGGTCAAAAGGGCTGACTTGCAGTGTGATAGCACCTTTGTCATGGCCAATGGAGACGAAACCAAAGTTACGTGTATTACTAACAACAAGAACGAGACGGTGGTTTCTGTKATCGGTCCTGGAAATACCAACGACGAAGACCCAAGAATYGTTGTCGCAGATGTTGGTGCCTGCAATGGCGTCATTCATATTATCGATGGAGCTTTGCATCCGAGTAGCGACGGTTTGTCGTCGCCGTCGTTGTGGACTCCAATACCGCCAGAAGAGCCGGAACACAAACCAATGGTGGACTGCAAAACAGTTGGTAAGTTCTYATGTTGGCAGAAGACGGGAATCTTCCCGAATGGCACGATTTACTATGTTATGCACTCTATTGYCAATGCCGATTTTGTGGGCTGTTGACATTCCCTGTGAAACATACCACATATAWCGTTTTTAAAAGCCCCGTCCGAAAAGCGTTCGAAATAAACCTTACCTTGTTTGAGGGGCTATTTCRTATCAAACGAAAMAAACAAATCTATAACCTCACTTTATCTTGTGCTGTTATCACTCGCTTCAAAACCAACAGAGGACATTGTGTGTGAAATGGATGATATGACGATCATGTGTGGCTTTCTCCGCGGTGAAAACGCGGCGGTGGGTGTCGAAGATGATCRTACTGATTTGTGGACCCTTTTTGCTCCGACCGACAGCGGCTTTGAATACATCCAGGACGTCCTGGACGGGCTAGAACCAAAGACCCTCTTGGACGTGTTCCAATACCACACTGTTCTTGGAGAAGAGTTATATTCCGACCAACTAGTGTGCGAATCAAGCCTAGGCATGGGGAACGGTCAAGCCAGTTTTACTTCCTGCTCGCCCTACAGCGGTTACAYATACCAGGAGGGACCTGGAAATGTCACACCGCGGCAACCGCGGATTATCGCTTTCGATCTTCCAGCATGTAATGGGTTGGTACATATTGTGAACAACGTTATGCTTCCGGACTTCTGAGAACAAGAAAAAGACAGACAGAAGCGTTCCTTAGTGATGCATGTGATGCCATGCGGTATMTTTTCAGTGGTGAGACTGCAAGTCTTCAGCCAATCGATACGTCCTTCTTTTCGATGATATATCAGGACAAATAATCCACAAAAATTCTAAAATAGTGCTATTGTTTTTTAATTTTAAAACCTAGAAGCTAAATTGCACACATGGATAGGACAGGTCGCTTGCCAATAGTCCCAAAGCGCTGCTCATATCATTCGCAACCAWGCAAGAACAAGGAGATTGATGGTACACATCAAATCAATAGTACTACAACAGAGAAATAGAGGAATGAGGCTACCATTTTCCAATCCCGTAGAATCCATGATACTCTCACCACAAATGCCTGCTTTGAAACGTAATTTCAATTGATCATCCACAGGGCGTACTAGTAGTACAAGGAATGAAGGCAAACGAGTGCAAGGCAGGTTCAGAGTTGGTAAAAATTAATACATGGCTCAACAGAGAGAACAATAACTCATTTGCCTTCACAACTTCAACYTGTCTCATTTTTTTWWAAAAATACTATRATTTTATATCAGAATTCCTATTAACTTTCTACCTAGAAAGTTGGTGCAAGTGCAACTTTCACCTGTCTCAAAATTTCAAAAAACTATTTTAGTATATCAAATTTCCTGATATTTTTTTTGGTAGGAAGTTGGCACAATTTGCTGATATGCAGGCATTCTTACTAGTACTTGTGAGCRATCAATCTGAGACCTCCAGTAGATCCCTGTGTTCTCAATAATAATGAAGTTATTCCAGTGCATGTGTGGGAGGGAAGTGTCCCTAATGGAGCTACTAGTAAATCCAAGGCCTATATTGGCAATTTCCAGTACTACAAAYACTAATACTAGAAATTTGTAGCTCATTTTTAGAGTTAAAAAATGTTGGAAACAGTCATAGTACAGACAAAAATAAAAAATATTTCAATTGCATTAATCTCTCACTGGCTCTAATACTAGTAGTAGGGGTATCATGTATTGACAGTTGACCCAAATTTGGAATTATTAACCTCTGATATTGTTGTATCCTCAGTAGTAAGGTATCCCAATAGAAATATTAATGGCCGTGAGAGTTTTTTTGGGTGGTGTGGTGGAGGGGGGGAGGAGAGGAGAAATGGAGACAGGAAAATAARATATTGACAGGTGTTATATTGTCAATAACTTGCCATCATTGGGCTTGCCTTTAGTAGCTCTATTAGTCCCTAACAGCTCTGTCTGGAGGGTGAGGCAAACCTTGTACTGGTGTTTTTTTTTAAATACTAGTACTACAATAACTTTAGGTTTTCGTGACGTTATTGTACTCATAACCCATTCCAGTTTCGTGCCACACACATATGCCTTCCTACCTCATATGAATGAAAACATTCCCCTCAACAGATCTGTGTTTGTTTGCGTGAATGAACCAATGATGGTCCAATGGCGAACCACAGCGGTTTAAGTAGTATTAGGTTCTAAATGTCATGACCAGGGCCCTCTGGTACCCACGCACACATCCCCCTTTTCAAATTCCTCCCCTAGAAAAACGTGGGTTATTTTTGGTGAAAAATAACCCATGAAAGAACCCACCAGGAACCCACAAATAACCCACAGAAGAATCCACAAATAACCCACGAATTTACAGTCATCTGGGTTGACGGAGAACCAACGATGTTAAGTATTTTAGTCATTACTAACGTTATTTAATCAACAGGGCCCAGCAGCAGGTTTGTGGGTTTTTTGTGGGTTATTCATGGGTTATTTCGTGGGTTATTTGTGGGTTAACCCAGGAACCCAGGAACCCACGTTTTAAAACATGGGTTATTTTATTTGAAAAAAAAAAACACGAAATCATACCCCCGATATTAGATTTCAAAGGGGGGACGCGCGCGAGTTGGTTCCGGAGGGCCCAGGTAACTGTTACAGTACAAATGCAATTTATGTGAAAATGTGATACTGAACACGATGTGATCTACCACCTCCGTTCCAGAATAATTGGTCAATATGCAGTACTCCATTTTTTCCATAATAATTGTCCAGTATGGAATGGCCCTATAGAATGTGTAGAATAAGTACTACATGTACTACAACTATTGTATATCATTCGTATTTAAGACTATTACTATTACTACTAGTATTACTATTATAAGCAATACAGCACTAATTACCAGTGTTGGTGGTACTGTTGTTGAAGTCTGCCAGTACTGAACGTGCGAAGGCAATCTTTTCTTGGTTGCAAATGATCGATACCGGAAGCTCCCCTTGACGTGTAAGTTTTTCTTTCCCAAGGTGTGGAATCTTGTAAGTGTTGTCACCACCAACACCAAGTGACTCCTCCATTGCACACTGTAGTGACAAAAATACCTTGTTTAGAGTCTCACGTTTGGATTCTTCAAATGCAGCAATCACATTAGCAATCAATGTGTCCATGTTCGAAGACCACTTCTTGTGCTGAAGGCTCTGGATAGAATTGAAGAAACCCAAATCAAGAACATTAAAGTCAGGACTGTTAGGTGGCTGGGGCTTCACAACAATATTCCAGTTCCTCTCACGAGCCGCAGCTGTCACAGCTGCTCTGGTGTTCAGTGTATGAGGCTTAGCATTGTCTTCCTGAATGATGCAACTTGGAAYAACACCGTTGTCTCTGGGGAACTTCTSGAAAATAGCTGGTAGAACTTTTTCGATCATGAGCTTCCTGTACACTTCTTCATTGACGTTAACTGGGTGGGGTTCAATCGTACCTCRAGGTCTGTTCACAGAAGATCTCTGCGCTGGYCTRTAYTCAACAATAGGCCAGATACCAAGCTTACCATCGAACCAAGCATTTCTACCATGATCAAATCTGGGCCTTGCTGTTGCACATAGAAACATCACCTTCTTGATATGCTGCTTTGAAGGTGTCTTGCCAACTGGTTCAAGCTCTTCATTAAGTAAATATGTGTTGCTTGTAACTTCCTTCATGAAGAACCATTTCTCATCAACATGAACTTTGTCATACATTGGGTCAAAGACGCCGTTGTGATCAATATGAGACAGAGCAAATCGAATTCTTTCCATCTTGTTGGCTTCTTTTAGGAAAGGCTTCAAAGTGCAGCTGTACCTCTTGATCGATCCATGTTTAACAAGACGGTGCAGGCTGGTAACTGGAATATTGATTGCTGCTGATAAGGTCCTTAGATCCCCTCTTTGTTTGTATGGAACGTCCCTCATTCCTTCAAGATCAGAGATAGGCCTAGCCTTCCTACCACACTTGGACCTGTTGTTCGACACATCACCTGCAGGGCATGTTTCATCATCCTGAGTTTCTAAATAGCGCTTCCAAATTCTTGCACAAGTTCTAGGGGTAACTTTGAAGGCCTCCGCTGCTGCCTTCAATGCACCCTTAGCAAGTTTCCCATTCCCTTTCTTATGCGGAAGCAGTTGGTGCAGAACAGCTTGTCGTTGATTATTGGTCAAGTTGATAAGGCGCCGTTGGGTTGGAGGAGTAACAGCCGGAGGAGGAGGGAGCAGCTCAGTTGGTTCAAGAAGATCCATTGCGAGACCTATTGCGTCTATTCCTGTAGCCATCTTGTGCGTTTGCTTTAGAAAAGAGCAGCATTCAATAAAGTGAGTGGATGAAAGTATTGGGAAAAAGCAGCACAACAGGCAACAAAGACAAGATCCATTAGCAGGTTGATTGGCGAGTCGGTCGCTTTGCTTCCCGCATCAGTTGGCGCTTCCCCCCTCACAATTCCCTCTTAGTGGAAGCAACGGAGACGCGAGCCAGCGATTCCCTCTCAGTGGAAGCAACGGAGACGCTTCCCCCCCCCCCCTATTAGTGGAAGCAACGGAGACGCCGCCGGCGAGTCGATGGATCCCCTATTAGTGGAAGCACGCGAGTCGTTCTTGTTGGCGCTTCCCCCTCAGTGGAGGTGCGTAGTGGAGGCGCGTAGTGGAGGCGTTGAGGTCGATGAGTCACTTGAGGTGCAAAGAAGAAAGAAGCTGGTCTTAGTCAGTTGAATGGAAAGAGTGAAGTGACAGAAAGGAGTCGAAAAGAGGAAATTGGGAGGTGTGAGTGAATCAAGAATGAAATTTATCACGTGAAAATAACACGGGGAGCATTTTTGGACCATGCGCATAGCATTTTTTTTTCTCTTCGATTCCTCTCTCCAGCGCAAAATTCAAAAAAACCACATGAAAACTGCATGCGCCCGAGCAATATTTGGGTTCTCTTTTGACCAACAATGACTGCACAGGAACATTCTCAACGAGTACAATAAGTATACCATGATAAAGCTCTCAGTCTGGGCTATACAAATAAACCGGTCCGGTCCTTAAGAAACCAGTAGAAGCCAGCAACTGACGGTAAAATCACATTTATATGCCAAAATAGGGCCCCTTTGAATAGCTATAAAGAGTGCACCAATGCTATAAACTTATTGCAATAAACACAACTGTATACCAGTGCAATAGATCTGTTTAGTGCAAAAGCAAGCATTCCAATCGCCCAAAAATTGAGCTTATTCCAACCCAAGAGGTGCATATTGACCAATTATTCTGGAACGGAGGTAGTACTTATTGCCTTTTTCTGAAATGAGGCCGTTGCGCTACTAGAAGTATTATTTCTAATCACGAGTCGCCCCCAAAAACTTTTCCAAGTACAGTAGGTACGTACTACATGTATGGCGCTGAACGTGAATTTATTTCTTTTTGGTCGCGGGCAATTCTAAGATGAGATTTTCCAACATGAACAACGAGTACTGCTTTATAGTGTAATGTCAAATGAGAAGAATATTTTCCCTGGGGAGCAGCTGCTGATTTCGAATTATGGACCATTGTATGAACCGAACAACGGTGATTAACCCTAAATTGAAAAAGAAGAACTTTAATGTTACAGAGATAACGGTAATGCACCATCGAGGGCTGCGCGACGAAGTAATATCAATATCAACTAACGTTATGGTATTGATCAGCACATACCGGTAGATTGCAGCCCTCGACTTACGACATACGGTACGATGCGATCACTATCAATAATTTGAATGGAAACCTTCCAAAACAGCAGAACAAGGTAATTCACTGACAGCAGACTCGTCATCGTCGCACTATTTAATCGATTGCCAAGTAGAGGTGTTGGARGAAACCACAGGTTCAGGTTGCTTTCATTTGATTTGCATCGCAGACAGTCTTCMAAGGAGCTTGAAGTAAAGGTTTGGGATTATAAGACAGAATAGGTTTTGTCTGCATTACAGCGCGTCTTTCAATCAGCGTTTAGTGCAGTTGTTCAAACAGAACACAGGATTAGTCTCACAAATATCTCAGCCAACCTGAAAATTAGCGAATTTACCCTGGAAAGGGCTGACCATAATACTATTATCGCCACATGCTAATCGTTTAGTTTGGTGTTTGGTTCTTTATCATAAAAAACAACGAAGGCGTGTACGAAACACCAACGAACTACCCGACATTCAATTATACATTCGATATATACAACGAACAACAAAATGGCGCCCAACATGGATCGCAACAACGCGTATGCTGTGCCATCCTCTTTCAGCAACAGCAGCAACAAAAAGAGCAGTCACATGGATGACATACTCCGGGAGAACAAACAGGGCATGGACCCAAACGCTGTGGATAAACTTCTTACTCAAGAATTGCTGTCCCTATCTGTCAGGGATAGAAACGACATTCAGGAAGAAATACACGGCGTTAAGTGCCTGGCGATGGACGAAACCCCAGAGCTGATCGAGCGATCCCTGCGCGAGTTAGAAACCGAGCTGGAGGAGCGAATACCAGACCGGAAGAAACAGGCGTACCTCAAGAGCAAGCAGCAAGTGACTAACCAACTTGTGACACAGGAACCATCTCTGAACAGCGGCTCGGGTCATATGTCGGATCCTGGATCCCTCCAATTCGTACCACAGCAAAGCGCTCATCTTTCTTCGTCCTATGTCAACGAGGACGAATTTCGTCTGCGTTTCTTGCGGTGTGATTGCTTCAACGTTGCAAAGGCCGCCAAGCGGCTAGTCAAATATCTCGACTTGCTGGTGGACYTGTTTGGTGAAATCGCTTTGCAAAGGCCCATTCGGTTGTCAGACTTTACCAAGGACGAACTTAGGGATATGCGCAAGGGGATGATCCAGCTGCTKCCGTTCCGGGACCGGAGCGGACGCCGGATCGTGGTATTCTTTCCGGAGGAAGAGCGATCGCAGATTCCGCCCATCACTAAGGTGAGCAATGCGATGTAATTCTATTCTCTTAAATACCTGTATCACTATGAAATTGTCTAGTGTTGGAAGTATCRATCCGACCTTACACATTTTTTCTYCTCRTTACGTTGTTTTGTACCTTACTTGTTATTCCTTTCTTGCCTATAAAATGAATCAAAACGCGGTACAAAAACACCCTCCGAATGAACAATCAAAATACAGGCCAGGATAGCCATGTACATGGGGTGGGTGGCCGGATCAAACGATGTCATCACCCAGCGAAAGGGACTGGTCGTCATGGCCTGGTTAGACAAATCATTTGTCGAACGAAACCAGTCCTGGAACATTAAGTACAAGTTCTACGAAATGGTTTCCACAAGGATAAGTGCCATTCACATGTGTAGTCCAGACACGCCTCACTACCGCTTTCGGCGGGCTGTGGGGACGATGCGATGCGGGGTCGAGTACCTTTCGAAGCTCAATTTTCACCTGGGTGAATCAGTTGAGGTGCATTACAAGCTGCAGGGATACGGTATCCCCACGGAGCACATTCCCATTTCCTGGACTGGCAAAATCAAACTTCAATACCTGAAGCAGTGGATGCGGATCCGKCAAGCTATCGAGAACCCCGAAATATGCAGCAACGAGGATGAGGACGACAACAGGAGCAGTAGTACCAGAAACATMGAGGGAGCAAGTGACGGCAATAGYAACACCACCAACAACTCCAACATCATCGAGTGTCCACAGTTTCAAGACGTCATTTTTCGGCAGGGGACCTCTGGGATGTGCCACCCTGGCAACGTGACTTTTCGGAGTCTGATCGAATCCGTCATAATGCAGGAGGAAGAATCCCAGCGCCTGCAGAAACAACTCGAGCATATGATGGAGCGAAACAACGAAACAATGAACACTACTAACACAAAGAAGAGCAAAAACAAAAAGGTCAAGAGAAAAATCAAGCGGCCCAAGCAACTCGCGCTTGAGATATACGAGGAGCGGCAGCGAACCATTCATGCTGCCGATGACAACGAGACGGCGAAGTTGAACAGTACCACCGGTCGATATTTGATCTGGAACAACGCTAAAGGTTGGTGGAACGAGATCTGCGATCGAGAACAGATTTTGATGAAGATCGAGTATATGGTCCGGGAATTTCAGAAATCGTCCTCCTCTAAATTATCTAGGAGCAGTCTTCGCAAAAAWAAAAACAGTTYGGATTCTGKTCATAACCACAGGAAAAATTGCCAAGAATCAGTACAGCTCGAGAGCGAAACGAATTTGTTCCGGGCGCAGGGCGGAGGCGGACTTTGCACCGTTCGATCAGATTCCGAGGAGGAAAACAACTATCAACACCATACAAAAAACATCCATAACAACAACAAACGACAACGACTGAGCCTTGTGAGTCTGAGTAGCCACGAAGATAGTTATGAATTCGAATCTACCGATACTATATGCAACGCGGAATGTTTTGGTATGAAGTTTTCACATTTTCTAACCTAGAAAGTAATGAATGTATAATAAAACCTATTCCATCAGGGATCTGAACTAAATTATAGCTAGAATATACATTACTCCTTCCCGTTGAATAACAGAAATTATTGGTTGACTATTACTGATGCAAATGAGTTACTACTAAATAAGAAAGAAAGCYATTCATATTGGGAAGAGCAGAATTGGTGACAGTGAAAGTGCTTCAAATTTTTCAGAGATCTACTCCAAGGTGTACTAGGGCAAGCTCTGAACTTAAGTTAAGGAAGGAATAGATGTTTTTTGCATTTTTAGGGCTCAAGTATAGCAAGGATCACTGGTCCAAGATTTTCTTTTTTGACAGCACTGCTTCAAACCAAGTCAAAATGGTCTACCACAGCCCATTTATTGCAAACAGGCTTTTCAGCAATTTTGGGGCTGGATTGTCCAACTCTCAAAAGTTTTAGACTCYTCTACTAGTGGTGGAACACTACTAACAGCAACAAGCTCTTGTGGTTTYAAGTTGGTATATGTTCTTATGACAACAATATTCTGTATTTTTGTTCTTTGGTTCTTTAGTATGGCATTTAAGTCCTTTAGCAAGAACACCTACTATTCTTRTTACTGTGATACTCTGGCAACTTCATAATAGTATACAARAACATAATGGTTTGTTGTTGTTAGTAAGTTGATAACAAGAGTGCCCATTTACAGGTGGTTGCAATAGGAGTTGAATTCAGTAGGTAATAACCACCTGACATTTGATCAAGTAATATTTAAACTGCCCTTATTTTCTTGGAACTACTACTACTAGTAGTAGTAGTAGTAGTAGTAGTAGTAGTAGTAGTAGTAGTAGTAGTAGTAGCACCACTGCTGCTGCTATTCTTAGTAAACCCTTCTTTCTAGCACCAGAACCATTGCTTCTACAGATCAGAATGCTCCTAGTACTACTAGTACCAGTACTATTAGTACTAGCTAGTAGTTGCTCCAGGGGGCAGCATCTCCAAATAGGCATGACAATGTCTTATGAAACACAATATATATATTTACACCACTACTAGTAGGCATGACGTCTTCCGAAACACAATATATATCTACCACTAATATTCTTAGAATTGCTGGTGTTTCATTTGTGTCAAAAGTAGTATAAAATAATGTCATAGCTACTCCTTATGTTTACACCACTTGGAAGAAGCTCCTCAATGTTTTAACTTAACCCTTTTCACCCAGCCCACCAAGACATGCATTTTGCAAAATGTCACAAAACAATGTTACTACTACTACGCACTACTACTAGTACTACTAGTACTAGTACTACTACTACTACTACACCACAAGGATGGCAACAAATAGAACTCATCACAAGTAGATGAGATACTTGATGATGCAGAGGAGGGGGGATCCTATCCTCATTGTTCTATTGCTCAGTATTCTGGTGAAGGTAGTATAATAGTACTACAGCAGCAGCTCATCACCAGTATTAGCAAGACTAGTACTACTAGTAGTGGTATCTCCTCATGCTACTTGTACTACTACTAGTAGTAGTAAACTGTTGTAGCAGTATTGATAGTAGTACTACTACTATCAATACTATCTTCTCATGCACCTACTACTAAGAAAATGGTGTGGTGAAATTAGAACTACTACTACTAGTACTTGCTTGGCTGTACTACTAGTAGTAGTAGTAGTAGTTGGAAGTTTTTGGGAATTTGGAATTCCTCTTAAAAACTACTACTAGTAGTACTTCATATTTACATTGCTATGACTAAAACTATGTCAGAATTGAATTTTTTTTGGGGGTGTCCACTCTAAATCCAGTCAGTTTTGAAAGGGAGTCTGAGAGGGGTTGTTGATCATCAGCAGCCAAAAGAAGCAAATGACTACTACTAGTAGTAGTACTACTACTACTAGTTGTAGTAGTAGATTTGGTGGTTAGCAATCTACTAGTACTACTACTAGTACTAGACCTGATTTCTTTTTGTCTGCTGTCTGCTGCTGTCTATCAAATCTAGTAGTCAATCCAGATTCTTAATGGGGGGAATCACCAATTCTTTTATCATAGTCAAATTAATAGTGTTCCTACTCCTAACAAACTTTTCAATTGCTTGACTCAAATATTGAGAAAATTCTTGAAATAGTATGTGNACTACTACTACTACTACACCACAAGGATGGCAACAAATAGAACTCATCACAAGTAGATGAGATACTTGATGATGCAGAGGAGGGGGGATCCTATCATCATTGTTCTATTGCTCAGTATTCTGGTGAAGGTATAATAGTACTACAGCAGCTCATCACCAGTATTAGCAAGACTAGTACTACTAGTAGTGGTATCTCCTCATGCTACTAGTACTACTACTAGTAGTACTAAACTGTTGTAGCAGTATTGATAGTAGTAGTACTAGTACTATCTTCTCATGCACCTACTACTAAACTGGTGTGGTGAAATTAGAACTACTAGTACTTGCTTGGCTGTACTACTACTACTAGTAGTAGTAGTTGGAAGTTTTTGGGAATTTGGAATTCCTCTTAAAAACTACTACTACTAGTAGTAGTACTTCATATTTACATTAGTACTAGTATGACTAAAACTATGTCAGAATTGAATTTTTTTGGGGTGTCCACTCTAAATCCAGTCAGTTTTGAAAGGGAGTCTGAGAGGGGTCAGCAGCCAAAAGAAGCAAATGACTACTACTAGTAGTAGTACTACTACTACTAGTTGTAGTAGTAGATTTGGTGGTTAGCAATCTACTAGTACTACTACTAGTACTAGACCTGATTTCTTTTTGTCTGCTGTCTGCTGCTGTCTATCAAATCTAGTAGTCAATCCAGATTCTTAATGGGGGGAATCACCAATTCTTTTATCATAGTCAAATTAATAGTGTTCCTACTCCTAACAAACTTTTCAATTGCTTGACTCAAATATTGAGAAAATTCTTGAAATAGTATGTGCCATCTTCCAACTTGTTGCTACACCGATGGAGCCAAGTACTCGTGCTCGTACTATTCATACTGGAAATTCATACATCAAACATCAACCATACCGGTACAACCATGCGTAAAGTTGGCTACGGTGCACTACACTTCACTTCACTATCTTTAGTGTGCGTAGCCAGTAACTTTGAAGAATTCTTACAGCCCTGGACTTACCGAGGAAACAAAAAGATATTTTTTTTTAGTGTAGATTTGTACAAACCCCGGTATATTAATTTTTGCAAATAAATTAGTACCTTGAGCAAAAACAGATTATTCATTTTTAGAGACATGGAACCATAAGAAGAGCAAACAAATGTATACCTAAAAAACAATCTAGTATTTGGATTTGTCACTAGCATAAGGTAAGAAACAGATGATATGACTATTGCCCTTGATAAGCCTACTAAGGTAAGAAACAGAGGATATGACTATTGCCCTCGATAAGCTTACTAGTAGTTCTGACCAACCTATTGTTGTTGTCCGTAGGATATCAGACCGTGGGTATGATTCATACATATGACACATACATACAATACTTATCTACAATTCATACACACCATACATATATGACTAATGCAATCCCACTGGATTCACATGATCAACATGACTCATTTCATTCACTTGCATGAGTGACTCGACTCACTGCTCGATTCACACATCACTCGATCCTCACAGCGATCCATTTTAGATTTCATAGTTCGTCGATCCCTGATAAGAGCATTGACTCACTTTTCTATTAGCGCACACTTTACATCACTTTTAGGACAGTCACTCCCACAGGTTATGACACCCTTCCAATAAAAATTCATCACCACCATCAAAACCCAATTCTTCTCAACTTTGTTGTTGCTTGCATGAATCTAGTTGTAGTACCAGTAGTAGTACCACTTGGGAAATGAATCATAACCATCCTATCCTCTGTAGCAACACACCAGCAACAACATAGAATAAACCAACACCATTTCATTTTTATCTGTCCTGGCAATGTTTCAGCATACACTCAAGTTCCTAATTGCTCTTGCCATTATTTTTGACCTTGCCAGAATCATCATCTGTAATGGTGCTGAAAGCAGGGAATCCAAATGTTTTCTGAGCAAATTCTGAGAAACAACCATTCTTCTTCCTGGAGTAGATATTATCAATGTTGTTATCAACCAAGTACTGGTACACTTCACTGTCTTTAGTGGATTCAGGAACGTAGTAGGTTGCTAGAATATTGGCAACACTTTCATCAGTGAAAACCATGTCAAGACTTCTGAGTTTACCAAAGTTCATGATGTGATCTTTAGTACTAAGACTATGAGATTTATCCCAAGGAACAAATGATTTTTCTGGTGGAACCTTGTTGCAGGATTTAGTCAACAGAGAGTAGCAGTCATCACGAAAGTTCTTTTCTGTCTCAATACTGATAACACCTCCACCTTCATTGAGTTTTTTGTCTAGTCAACTAAAAATAGCACATCTTGAATACATAGTTCCATTTTTTGCTGGATAACCCATCTCAAGTCTGTTGTTATCCTTGTTTGAAGTCCAGAGGAAAAGATAAGTTTGACTAGATACATCCCACATGTCTGGTGCAAATGGTTTGAAAGTTTTGGACATGCTGTTACGAAGAAGAGGAGCCATAAATCCCCCATGTTTTTATGCTTCTTTCTCAATGAACAATACCATCATTTCACCAGAGCCAATAGCTTCAGTATAAATAATCTGCTTCTCAAACTGATTACCAAACTGTCTAGAAATATTATCACGTGACTTTTTGAGTTTCTTCTTTAATGGAGTGACAACACAAGGATTAGTAGAAGACTTAGTATGGTCAACCACAGTAGAATGAGTTGTGATTGAGGACTTTTGGACAGGTCTCTTTGTGGTGACAGCCATTATGTTAGTAGTAGTGGATGGTTTAGTAAGGATTGTATTCAATTATTAATTGAATGCTTTTCAAATGATGAGATCATCAACTGCTCATCTCCTTCTTTTCCATTTTGCTTGTTCCAGTAAATGCTAGTGCTTTGTGGCTAGTGTTGTATAAATATGTGTTGTCTAGTCTTGGGAGCTTTTTTCTTTTCTGAACCTTTCACTTGAGGCAATAATAGTTTTAATCTTGACAAGATTGAA